ATTTCTTTTTTTTGAAAATTGTTTAATAAAAAACGCATCCCAATTTAACTATGGGTCTTAAATTATTCAAAAACCCAAAATAATGATTTTTAAAGGAAACATTTTGTTTAAATTTACGTAAAAGAAAAAAATTTTAATTTTTTTAAAACTTTTTTTTAAAAACTCGAAGGCAGAAAAGACAAGAAAGAAGCGCCAAAAAAAATAAACCAATTTGTTTTTTATTAAAATAAAAAAAACTTTTTAAAACTTTAAAGGGATTTTACTTACTAAATACATACTAATTAAAAAAAAATTGCAGCGTAAACCAAATCGAAAATTTCGAAATGATTTCTGTTATTTTCTGACTATTGAAAAAATCTGAGAGTTTAGGGGTCAAAACGTATCATGTAACACTCATTCCATAAGGGTTTTCCGTAAAAGGGAGAAAGGAATGAAAATACTTACGCGAATGGTTTGCTTGGTAAAAAGGCGGCGCTAACGCCAGCCACGGCGCCTGCGGGGGCGGGGCGCCGCTCATTCGCCAGCTGGACGCAGGGGAACCGCCGTGTATTACCCGGGCCCGGTTTGGGTCCCCTCGCCGTTTCCCGCCCGTGTCACGCGGCGGAGGGTAAATCTCGTGTCCGGGGGCGGGCTGCCCGACGCGTCGTGCTCCCGCCGCCGCGCCGGTATCGATCGCAGCAGGCTGTGACCCGGGCCGGCACCGCCTGTCGCTCCAGCTATCGACCGTTCGCGCCGCCGCAGCCCTGTGCGACGCGTACTCACCTCTTAATTACTACATAACTGGACTTACTCTTGGCATTAAAACTTCAAATCTGCGCGCGACACCGCGGAAAAAAAAAAATCTCGCCTTATTTTATACAGAAATAAGTTTAAAGTTCCAATCTGAATACGCGTTGCAATGAACATGTCTCAAAACATTAAAAAAAAAGTTTTATAGCTTAATGAAACTTGTAAAAAGATTAGATTGTTAAAAATAATAACTCGTACATACTCATGAAATTAAATTTTCCTTTCCTTTTTCCTTTATGTTCCAATGTGACTTTGGGGCGCACACCACGTCACAGCATTTACCAAGCGTGCGTGACGTCAGCTATTTCTTTTTCATTCCCGGCGTTTGTCAAATTGTTTTTTTTCATTATTTTATGTTACTATAAGTTTTCTGTTGTGATTCTGGCAGAACAAAAATATTATCTATATATACATACAAATACATTGCAAAATATATATTTGTAAACAAAACACAAACACAACAGTTTTTGTAACAAAACGTAATTGATTAGGTTCCTCTACAATCTAACAAAAGGTTTACATTTGGCCGTATACGAGAGTGTTTGTTTAATCTCTGCACTTACGATGTAGTGTGTGGCGAAGGTATCTGCCCTAACATTTTACGTATTAAACAGACCCACATCTCGGCGACTCGATATCAGCTATTTGTATAGGCCTCCTGCCTTTGTTAAAAAGCGTGAGAAACTTTCTTTTAATCAATCGCCGTAATATTTGTTCTTTACATACATTTTTTATATAAAATGACCGTTTTTGATATTATTTTCTTACATTGTTATGGACATTGACATAAAGCGTTTTGAATTTTGGCACTAAGGTCAATTCTCGCAAGTGAGTATTTTGACAGTAAATCATCATTATCATCATCATCATCCAGCCTATCGCAGTCCACTGCTGGACATAGGCCTCTCCCATTGCACGCCACTTAGATCGATTTTGGGCTTCTCGCATCCAGCTCCTGCCAGCCATCCTTGCGCAAATCGTCAATCCACCTGGCCTGTGGGCGTCCTACACTACGTTTACCGAGACGCGGTTTTCCACTCAAGAACTCGTTATAGTAAATACGCAAAATGAATTACAACACATTGTTTCTTAGTGTTGAATTTGTTAGTTCTTTGGTTACATATGGAAAGACTTCAACGACTAATCATACTACTATAAATATGCATGGCTTTTTTAAAGATATATTTCATAAGCTATATCCAAATTAACATGCATTGGATAGAAGATAAAGACAGCACAGATTGGTTTCGTAAATTATTCTTTGAGTCTAAGTCTGCATTGCGCTGGTCTTATCCTCAAATGTAACTTAACTGTAACTTATTTATAAATGTAGTTATTACATACATACTATAAACATTAAAATAATAATAAACAATTAAACACAAAATCATATAGTGTAATCTAATATACTTATTATTTTTAGTAATTTAATATTCATTCAATACTAAATTACATATCATCGGATAATTTAGGCTTGCAATCTAAGTTTAAGGATAGTATTACAATATAATATATGTATTTTAAATACAATATGCTTAGCTAGCGAGAGATTTTCAGTGGATTAATATTGTCACTAATAAACATGTTTTTACTTTAAAGCCATCATCGTTATCAACAGCCTTTAATAGTGCACTGCTGGACATAGGCCTTTTCTTTAGAAAGGAGGTTTAGGCTTACTATACCACGCTGGCCAGATGGGTTGGTGTAGAGTTTGTTTTAAGTTTTCCTTCTCTTTGCAGTACTGTTGGCAAACAAACATACATATTGCAACTTTTACCATTATGTCGATGTACCCATGTTAAGGTAAGTTTAAAATTAACTAGAAAATATTTATATTGGCTGTCGTCGTGACTATCTCAAGCAAGTGCTAAAAGAGGTAACACTTAAGAGCCAATCTCCTCCTCCTCCAAAGTGGCTCTCCCGGTCGTCACATTTATTATACTACTGTAAATCTATGTTAGTTAGCACTTTTCTCAGATAAATACAACATAAAAACATTGGTCTAAAATAAAAAAAATGCAGGTTGGAAAATGTACTCGTATATTCGATTAGTAAACGTAATGTCATCACTGCTACCTACTGCTAATAATAAAATAAATTAGAGAGTAATATTTCACGAATAAACTTAAAAGAAAATGAGGTCCTCTTAATATAACACTTTAGGAATTTGCGACGTTTTTTTTGACGTTGTTATTCTCAGAAATTATCTTCTAGCGTTACTTGGATTTCTGTTTTTTTATGAGCTTTGCTTATAGTCTCTCATTTCTTTTTTTTTGCCTTAAGTACCTTTTTCTCTAATGGACTTTTATATTTTTTCAAACAAAATTTCTCCTTCGTTATTTTAATAGGATTCTAATGAAACTGAAATTGGATCGGTCATTATGGCTATGCAGATGAATTAAAAAATTGATGCTGATGATGAAAGAAGGCCAATGATTTCCGTCATTATCATCGTGGTGATAACGGTTTTTAAATCACGAGGGATTGTAATTTTCCTATTAATCAATAAATTGTTTAATAAATCATAAAAATAAAAGTGTAATAATGTAGAAGTAAAAATAAAATTGGAAATAACTGAAAACTAAACTAAATTAAATATAACTAAACTAAACTAAATATAAACTACTAACTGAATATAAACTAATCTAAAGTTATATTTTTCGTAGTTTTAATATAGTTCGTAGTTTAGTACTGATCAGTTTTAATATTAATATTAAATTATTACCATATAAATTAAACCAATAAAGTAAGAGGAGTTTACTTGTGCAGCTTACATAGAAAAACAATTTTAAAGAAGTAAATAAATATACGAACAGCGACAAACATTCTTAAAACTTCATAAATATACTTAATAATTTAATAGGCAATTAACTTTTGCAGTTTGGGGTTAAGAGAAATGCCTCACTGGCGTTGCAGCCGGTGCGTTGCATCGGCGTTGCGACGCCTGAGCGTTGACGGTCCGTAGTTCTACATAAATCTGAATGACTTGCCTTTAATTACCTTTAACTGGTCCCTCCGTCCGTGGTAATATCCGTGTAGTGACGGATTAAGAATACGGAATGTCACTACCCCAATTCATCCCGTGGGTGTCGTAAGAGGCGACTAAGGGCGCAAAACAACGCAGGACACCAGCACTGCAAAAAGAAGGAAAACTTGATATAAACCCTATACCAACCCGTCTGGCCAGCGTGGTATAGTAGGCAAAAACCTCCTTTCTAAGGAGAGGCCTATGTCCAACAGTGGACTATTAAAGGCTGTTGATGATGTGATGTGATGTGAACTGGCTTCATCGAATATTTTTTTTATGGTTTAAGGGGCAAACGAGGAAACGGTTCACCTGATGATAAGCAACTACCGCTGCCCAATGACACCCGCAACTCAAAAGTCACAAGTGCGTTGCTGCCCTTGAAGTCCCTCCTGCTCGAGTCAGCGGGAGAGAGGATTTAGGATCCGGTAACCTTACTCCGGTACGAAAGAATTGCTTAACACCGGTTTTCTGTGAGGCCGTGGTTTCACTCCGTCGAGCCGGCCCATTCTTGCCGAAGCATGGCTCCTCCTACGTAAAAAAATAATTCCCCTCCGAAAAATATTATACATTGACGTGATAGGTTTGAAAAAATCTGTTTTACGTAATAAAAACCCTCTTCAATATTCGATTTCCTGGCGTAATTCATATTTAATGGCATCATCACATTAGCATATATTATTGTCTCTGAAGAGACCAAAATGTTTTCTTCGGACAATTAAACATATTTCTGACGAGGCTTGGCTTTCGACTTCTCTTGTTCTCTGTGGCTATTTATAACCTAAACTAATACTGTTATTTTGTTTTAACATTACTTTGGTTTATTGTATCTACAGCACTTTTTAATGTATTATGTCGATAATAAACGCACCACGTGTAGTGCAGGGGTTGTGTATTTAGGGAGATGTTTATTGGATGCCAGCCAAAATTAAAAAGTGACTAGAATGATAATAACATTACTTCGATTGATTGATGGAATGTCTGTGATATTTTTAATGTAGAACTTTTAAACACAACAAAAAACGGAACCGTCTTTAAAAATTATGGTTTGTTTTTTTTTTCAGTTATATAAAAAGAAAAGTATAATGATTCTTGTATCCATTATACACTTAATCTCAATCTAAATCTAACAAGTCTCTGCTTAAGATATGAATCCCTCAGGACTTCAAAACAACTTCAAACATAAAACTAAGTATTTTTCTTAAAGGCGTAAACAAAAAGATAAGCAAAATGTATTTATCATAGGTATATCGATTGTGTATTAGTGACTATTTATTTTATAATCATATTTATTATTCAATTTCTAGAAATATGACACAGCAGCCGTATCCAAAGTAGTCTCAATCCAACGGATCGTATGTGTAAACCAGGCGCGCATTGCGGTGAGATAGCGTTCAGTTGAGTTATATAATTCCTTCGTTTTTACTTCTCTCGAAACTTTAAGCGTAAGATATTTGCAAAGATTGTTTTTTTTCTATGAAATATATTTTCACGACCGTAAAAGTAAAACTCTTTTCACTTTCATGTCGAATTGTTCAATACAATATCAATTTTTGTCAAAATATATCATTGTCATTTCTGTTGTGTTTATTTCCATTGAGTTTACCTCAAACTATATATAAAAACATCATAATAAATTAAAACGAAGAGGGTACATAGACGTGTTTTCTGGTCAGCGGTTAATCTGGCCTCCATAGGGGTGTTTAGTAAATCAGGAAATGTTTGTGTGACGCATTTTACAATTAGGAAACAACTTTGATATATTGAACTGATAGAAGAAGTCGATTTATTTATACCAAGTCTACCTTATTTTTAAAGCATTTAACCCTGTGTGTTATAGTCCACTGTTATACAGTAAAGTCATAATAATGAAAATGTATTTACATTACGAATCAAGTCTGCGAGAAAGAATCTATCTATTATGCCAAAAAAAACTTTAGCGTTGCTTAAATTCAAGAAAAACTCGAAAGATTTCTATTCTCTAGGCCCAGGATGATCATCCTACTGAAAATGTAATGGTGTTTTAGATGCGATTTGTAACAAAATGAAGTTTTTACTCAAGCTTGTTTGAGACGACAAAACAGCAAAAAATATTTATTGTTAGATTACATCACATCGAAAAATATATTCCTTTCTAAAAGGCTATCAATTTAACGTTATTTCTTAGAAAAGTAATTAAATAAAAAAGGATGACATGAGGTTTAACAATGTTGTATTTTAAGCGATATGGATTACAACTCTCGCCGAGAGTGGAGTATTGTTATTTAAGCCTTGGCTGTACATCTTCTGTTCACTGTAATATCACATAATGACTTGTTTATT